CGTCACGGCCCGAATGGCTGCCACAGAGTAAGCCACCAGACTCCCACATTGTGTTGACCCCTGCGCTGTTAGGAAGCGATGTCCTAACTAGTCATCTTGAGATAACTGGGCCACGTGCCAACAGTTATGTCGTCACTACCTCAGTAAGCGTACTGAAAGGTAGGTCTGGCCGGGCTAATGCCAACGGTCAAGTCAAGAGTCCAGGTAATCGCTGTATTCAACAGGAGGTTGAACTAAGGAATACATGGGTTTTCCTACAGTATATATAGTAACTGGTATAGGGGTTAATACCCAAAGAAGAGAACAATAAGAAAGGACGCGTAAGCTATCCTGTGAGAACGTAACTCAGAGAAATGAGAAATACAAGGGCGCCCATTGGTAGAAGGTGAGTCAAGGGAGATAACGCGTGGGAAGAAGATAGCGTCCATGGGAAGTTCTACTCAGAGAAAGGTACTGTCCAATAGCAATGCTCGGAATGGAAATGGAATGAGATAAGCATGGGAAATCATAACATGCGCTCGGAGCAAGCACGCAGGAATCCATCCATGATATCTGGAGGTGCATCCTCTGATTCTTTCATTCACCGTGTCACTCGAGGTCTTCACCCGCGTCAGCTCCTCAGGAGGCTGTAAGTGCCATCTGCAGCTTTACTTCGCCTGTTGACTCATTTTCGACTGAAGCGAAGTTGATCAATGTGTCCTTGCGACCAAACAGGGACATTCATTTCCAACAGTGAAAGTGGCTTTTCGTCACTTTCACAGCTGCGAGGCCACATGCACTGGTGAGAGGGCAATGTGATGCACTGCAAAAACGGCAGTCAACCCCGTGCGAAGTCGCGAGGCTGGCTCATTGTGCTCTGTGATTGGCTGTTCATTGCCAGAAAGCAGCAGCATGACCGAGATCCCACACATTCTCCGGCCGAGCTGAAAAAGCAGTTTCTCAGAAAGCGACAGAAAGCAGCTTTCGCAGTTAGAACTGAATCACCCTAATGCTAGCTCTGACATTGCTGGTCGGCCATAGTTGCTTGGGATCCGCGCCAGATTCTATCAGCTGGTCTAAGGCTGAACTTTGCCCAACATTGTCTCCACGAAGTATGAATGACTCTCGCACATCAGGAAATGCTCATTTTGCTATGACTGTCTATGGCTGCCTATGGGAGCTATGCAAGCCTATAAAGCACTATAAAGTGTGATATAAGCATGGATGTTCCTCTAGAGGAACATTCTGTTTCTTGATGCAACTCGTCGAGTCCCCCTGAATATTCAATTTCTGCTTTTTGAGACTGATAGCAATATGTAATGTCTCGGCAATAATAGAACAAGCCGGAGTTGAACCGACTTAGCCACTACTCCAAGTGTCCTACATTCCAAGGGTGTTACACGCTCTATGTGCCATTACTCCGGTCTCCCAAACCAGGTTCTGCCACACTCCTGGTCCGTAAGGATCCGAATCCTTACACAATAGTCACCTGGAAGACGGACAAATAAGTCTGCAGGTAGCAGACCCCGTCAGACGCCGCATCTGCAGCTCTGCGTTCGAGATTAGTGCTGTCTCTTCGAAGACCTACTGAACAGCAACGGCACATTATATGCTCCTTTAATGGTCCAGACAATCCAATAGGAGACCGTGAATTGCAGGGAAAGAGTGGCAGTCGCAGAATCCTCGGCACAGCAAAGCAATGACTGGGATGTCGGGCCGGGTCTTCCGTCACGTTCGATGCACTGAAGACTTGCGTCAATTTCACTTGATCATGAATCGTGCTTGAATCTATTTCTTCCTGCCTGCAGCTGGTCAGAGCACAACTGTCAGTGACGAGCGATCAGTGTCGTTTGCAGCTAATGCGACGGATGGCTGGAATGCATTTATGGTATGTCGACGACATTTGCTGTCTGTGAACTTGAGTTACCGAGCTCGCTCCAAAGCTTCCATGGACCCACAATATAATTGTAACTCATTCGCATGCGCTAGTCCCTCAGGCTCAGGTGCGCGAGGTCCGTCTTCAATCTGCGACAGGTCTCGACCTCTTCGCCCCTGCGCTGTCATCTCTGGTTGTGTTCAGGACGGCCTTCCTCTGGAATCTGCTGGCAACTGCGGCGTCGCACATTTTCAAGCACGCCAGACCCCCCTGACAATCTATTCAACTACACATCTACACATCAGGACGCTGGCTGTAAATTCTATACATGTTGTCTTCTGCCATATATGTCTGACTTTTGATTTCGCACTGTCAGTGTCAACGATTATCTCCGCCTTGCAGAGCGCCGGCGCAATTTCGATGTCTCCGCGCTCTGTTGACTGGCGGCGCACTCTGTCGGTCGGACACCTCAAGACGTCGCCAGATTCGTGAAGCTCGCCGAAGGCAGCTTCAAATGCACCTTCCTCCTAACTATGCTCGACGGCTTCGAAATGGTAGTGCGCATCCCGTACCCCGTGACGGTCCCCAAGTTATACGCTGTGGCTAGTGAAGTTGCCACGATGTGTTTCCTCCGGTCGCGTGGGCTGCCTATTTCCCAGGTTTACAGCTACTCACCTTTGCCGGACAACCCTGCACAGACGGAATACATTTTCATGGAGTATGTCAGAGGTACGAACCTCAGCGACGTGTGGTTCGACCTGGAGGAACGGGATATCGTTTCGGTCTTGCGTCAGCTTGTCCAGCTCGAATCACGGATGATGTCTATTCCTTTCCCGGCTGGTGGGAGCCTCTACTACTCCCACGACCTCGAGGAGGTGACTGGAGGGAAATCGGGCACTCTACTCGGCGGCGACGAGCGCTTCTGCATCAGCCTGGATGCCCGGGTGCATATGTGGTACCGACGGCGGTCGCAGCTCGAGGTGGACAGGGGACCATGTACGCTGTATATATGCCACTCTGTCTGCCTTCTTGGCGGACTCTGGATTATAGGGCTAACCGAGACTATGCAGACACAACCGTCGAACAGGCGCTCGCAGCGCCCGCCCGCAAGGAACTCGCGTACCTTGCGCACTTCGGGCGCCCGCTGCCTCCCTTCCAGCGTGAGCGCCGGGAGTTGTACGAGCATAAGCCACAGCCACCCTCGGACCACGCTGTAAACCTCGAGCGCTACCTCCTCGCGCCGTCGCTCGTCCCCGCAAACACAGTGACCCATCAGTTCTGTATCCGCCATCCCGATCTCCAGCCGGGCAACATCATTATATTGAGGTCACGAGACACGAACGAGCTGCGCATCGAGAGCCTGCTTGACTGGCAACACGCCGCGATCCTCCCACTGTTCCTCCATGCAAATATACCGGGGAGCATGCAGAACTACGATGACCCGTCCTCGCAGCTGCTCGTCCCGCCCTCGCTGCCTGCGAACACGGGCGAGCAGGACGAAGAGGCGAAGGGGCTGTACCACCGCTGGCTCATCCACTTCCACTACGTGAAAGCCACGGAAGAGTAGAACAAGCCCCATCACGCCGCCTTGAGTGACGCTGCGTCGGTGTTCGTCGCCCACCTTGCCTACCAAGCGGGTGCGCCGTGGGAGGGCGAGACGCATGCGCTGCAGGCTCTGCTGATACAGGCAGTGGCAATTGTGGGAGGGAGGCGCGCCGTGTCCAATCGTGTTCGAAGCCGAGGACGTACGCACGACGAATGAGCTGGCCGAACGGCTGCAGCTCGCGGACGAGAATTACGAGGGGGTCCAGCGCATCGTCGGGTTCGGCGCGGAGACGTGGGTGCCCAGCAAGCGCTACAAGATGGCGCGGGACCTCGCGGAGCTGCTGAAGTTGAAGGTGTTGATGCAGATCCCGGAGGAGGAGGTCCGAGATAAGTTTGATGCAAATTGGTTCTTGAATGATATGGACAAGACTGAGTATATGTGATGGGTTGATCGGACTGGAGTCTGGGCTGTGGTGGTGATGTGTCGACCGGCCGATTCTAGGAAGATTTTTCTTCAGTCTAAGATGCCTTGAGTTCTCTGAACAGATCCCAGTCTCTGCGCTCGACCCGAGCCCTCGGGCTTGTGACAGGGTTCGAATGTTGCTGGAACAACAGGATATCGATATCGCCGTCAAGTACTTCAAGGACAGGTGGATATTGTATGCCGTCAAGGTGAAATAGCCGTGAGGGATTGACTCGACAACTGAAAGCTATCCATCGTCTTCGCTCAGGCCCAGGTGTTTTCTTACGTTCTTTTTTCGAGATTGGGTTGAAAGTTGCTGGCAGCGAGGGGTTTGCCCTTCAATGGTGGTATGAATTCCAGGACATTTCTGGAGAGGAACGTCCACCCACCAAAATTACAGATGGCCGCGCCTGGAGGGATTACTGATCTAACCCTAGTCATACTTAGCATCAGGGCAAAACCACTTGTACTATCATTGCGGGGGATCTGTAAAAATCTGACAGATCTCCTCACAGCGCCCTCAGAATTGAAGCTAATGACTCCATTTCTTTCAGGCATCTTAGCTTAGTTACTCAGTTACCTACTCTAGCAAATACTGTGGCAAAATATGTGCAACTGAGGCAATGACAGAGATGCCGGCGTCGACCACCCAAATCCCAGTAGAAGTGTAAAAGCAGTCACGCGTATGTCACACGGCAATTTCGATCTCCGCTCGGCATGACGAGAGACAACGAGAGACGACAAGCCAACCTGATCGTGCTCAGGAGGCGGAGTTCGAATTACAACGCGTCGGTGGCGGGAGTCTTGTAACGCTCACCCGTCAGTTCGTGCGGTAAACGAGCTATTGTTCGTCGTCGCTGCCCCATCACTCCAATCGGGCCGTGCCATAGGAAAGGTGAGGCAGTATTTAAGCTATAGGCCGCTGGTCTTGCGCCTTTGCTTCCCCTCATCAGGAGAGATCTGGGAAATCATAGGGAATTCCCATGCTTACACCTCCACTTTTCGACGGTGTTTGGTCTCTTAATCTTTACACACTTGTTTTTCTACCAAAGTGACTTCACAAGGCATCATAACATAGGCCTATATGTATACCTACCAAGCCGCTAAGTCTCCCATTGCGTACAGCGCGAGTTTCAGGGGAAGTGTAAAAAATCCAGCTTTTACAGATCCCCCGCAATGATAGTATACTATCATTGGGGGGGGTCTGTAAAAACTTGACAATATGACTGGCCAAGGGCTACCTTCTTCATCATTCCCTGTTATTTCACTCAGGCATCATAGTATACCTTCCTAAGTACCATCTGCAAAAAGAATGATCTCGATTCACTATGTACAGAGTAATACAGAGAGATGCCGCACACAGACGGCACTTGCGGGGAGTAATGTAAAAACGTCACGCGCGGGTAACACTATCCGATCCGCGCGAGTCTGTCACGCATCTGTCACGCCCTTGGGACCTTGGAGTTCTGTAAAATCTACCATACGAGCACTTCACAAGCCTGCAGCTATTATCGGGTGGGCGCAGGAGGTTTACACATACAAGAAACACCTCCTCTAGGCAAGCCGATATATGCCGGGGCCGTGTAGGCTGGCAGATCTACCCATCAAGTGGCCATCAGACCTGTTACAGTGGGCATTTTGGACGGTGTTCAACCTCCCATACGACAAGGGGCCAACTTGAGGCAATTCCGACTTCACAGACCATCTGTATGGTATACAATGCATATACATACCAACCCGCTAAGCTCCCTGTAGCGTACTTCTCGAGATTTCGGAGTTCTGTAAAAAATCTAACTTTTACAGAACCCCCCCAATGATAGTATGTTACATCGTAGTACATAGCACAAACAACCAACAAACAACGCTCAACTTCTCGAAATATCGATTCGTGGAGACATCGTCGAGCCTTGACACTGACAGACCTCCTGAGCTCTCCATGAGACGCCGTCTGCTTGCCATATCCAACCGCACAACTGCCTCCGTTCCTTGCTTCCTGACGTCACCTCCAATGGACGCTATACTTGAGGCCAAATGCGCAGCGTATGGAGCAAGCACGCTTCAATACTTGACTTCCAAGGGGATATAGCATGCACAAGCTAACCGACCTCTTCCATCGCCACGGCAAATCCGCCATAAATCATACCTTACACCCAGAGGAACCAAACGCGTACCCGCGCACGGAGGCCTTCCCAACCGGCCATGATCTGTACTGCTATCGCAAGCAGCGCGGGGTCAATCTAGGTACGTGGATCATCGCCGTTCTTCGAGAAGAAGAAGCGCTGAGTGAGACGGCCCCGAAGGCTCCTGGTTCGTTCTCGAGAGGTGGATCACTGAATCTCCTTTCCGGAACGCTGCTGCCCCTGCACAGAGCGATCTGGACGTCGCGCGAGGCTCCAACGCAAAGGAGATACTCGAGCATCATTGGGACACATGGATCACCGAGACAGACTGGCAGTGGCTCGCGCAGCATGGGATCAATACAGTCCGACTCCCGGTGCGTGCATGATCATGTCTTGACCTGCTTACTTCCGTTTACAGGGAGTATAGATTGGCTACTACCATATCTGCGGCGCCGATCCGTCCGTCCTTGATGGGACCGATTTCGCCCAATTCCATGCCGTGTTCGAAGGTGCTTGGAGTAGGATAACGAAAGCGATCGCCATCGCCAACGATCTCAATATTGGTGTCCTGCTTGGTAAGAGCTTCTGTAACCCACCGCTGGCTCTGATTAATGGAACTCCCAGACCTACATGCCGCACCGGGTAAGCAGAACAGGGACGCCCACTCCGGGACGTCCGCGCCCTCGCCCGGCTTCTTCACCGAGCACAACATGTCGCACACCACGCACATCCTGACCACCCTCGTGCGCAACCTCCCCGCACTCCCGAACGTCGTCGGCATCGAGCTGCTCAACGAGCCTCAACCCGACGCTCAAGACGAAGCCCTCAAGCGGTGGTACGCATCCACAATTGCCGCGGTGCGCGCTATATCGCCCGGCATGCCGATCTACATATCCGACTGCTGGCGCACGGACGACTACGCGGGGTACATCTCGTCCCTGTCCAAGTCGCACGTGGATTTCGTCGTCCTCGACCACCACCTGTACCGGTGCTTCACGCAAGAGGACCTCAACACCCCCGCGGAGCAGCACGCGCGGGCGCTGCGCGACCCCAACGGCAGCGCGGCGAGCACGTTCGCGCGCGTCTCGCAGAGCCTCCAGAACGCCGGCGGCGCGCTGGTAGTGGGCGAGTTCTCCGGCGCGCTCAACCCGCAGTCCCTCGCGGGCCTTCCTGGGTATTCCGCCGAGATGTCCGCGCGGCGCAGTTTCGTCAAGGCGGAGATCGATCTGCTCGAGCGGTTCTGCGCGGGGTGGTTCTTTTGGACGTACAAGAAGGAGGGCGGGCGCGATCTCGGATGGGGGTTCAGGGACGTCGTTGATGGTGGGCTCTGGCCGAACCCGGGGCTGGTGGTGCGGAATGAGTGCGAGCGCGATGCGGGGAGGTCCGGGAGGCGGAATAGTGCCAGGGATAAAGCTCTAGGTGCGTCCTTAATCCTGGCCAGACGTATATAGCTTGGCTGTGGCTGACTCGGAAATGCATGCAGCCGAGCACGCCTCTTACTGGGACAAGTTTCCCGGAAAATACGAGCACTTCCGGTTCGACGAGGGGTTCGTGCAGGGGTGGGACGACGCGTACGAGCACTTCCTCTGCTCCGAGGCGTCGTCCTCGCAGGCGGTGTCCTCGAAGAAGGGCAAGGGCGAGAAGCAGGCACCCGTGCCCGTGCCCGAACTCGGATTCAAGGGTGCCTGGGCGAAATGGCGGGCGGAGCAGTATGTCATGAACCGAGGTGGAAAGGACCACGTGTGGGAGTATGGTGAGGATGTTGATTCGTTCGTTTAGGGCCACACTTGCTGATCTCACCCTCTGTGATGCGTTGCAGAGCATGGGTTGATCCAGGGGATTGATGCTGCCAGGAAGGATTTCATTGAGGTGTATTGCGAGGGTGGGGAATGAGTCGAGGCTATAAGGAGCTGAGAGGATCTTGCAGGATATTTTTGTGGATAAAGCAGCTGCAGAAGACGGCAGTGGTCACCGTTGTATGATACATACTGAGGTATACATACTAGTGATGCGCGCTCGCGCAGAGTTGCTCGCGAAGCGTAACGTGGTGTGGCATGACACGTCGTCCTGTTATGTGGCACAGCTGGTGCACCATACACACCAACCTTGCATGCATACGGCTCAACTTACTGTATTTCGTGGCATGTTTTGTGATAGGTAGGGCAAGTAAATAGGTATCATTGATTCTGGAACCTTTCCAGGCTCAATCCGAGGATATTTAAAGCTCTGTAGCGACTTATAGCTGGCCCTTGGTCTTTGTGGGTCCCTCAGCCACCGGGAGTAGAATTTGTACATGTTTGTCGCGGACTAGTGAAGAATTGCTCGCTTCGCTCGCAACTAATGGCATAGGGTGTCTCGGGAGGCTGTTTCTCACGCCACTGTGGCCGTGGCAGAGCTGCCATACCTAAGTCCGTTACACCTTCAACAGAACCCGACAAGCTTACCTCGTCCGGAACAAGAGGGGAAAATGGAAGCGGGCAATGACACCGACGAGAAGCACCCCGTGTCGTGACGCACTAATCCCACGAGGGTTTATTAGGGGGCTTAGGTGTAATGCAGGAACGAATGACCGCCACGACAGTTAGAGATTAGAAGGGAACTCGGGCGTACGGGTGACGGGCACAGCAGACTGACCAAGGCACGGCAAAAAAGCAAGTCGCAATATAAGATGTCGTGTAGAGCTACAAAGGGCGCACAAACAAGCAATAAACTTAACAGGCGGATCCGTCCGCACCCCATACCGCTGCTAATCCTAGTTAATATTCGTCTGTCTCATAAAGATATAATGCGAGGTTTAAGGTTCGGTTTCGGTTGGGTTTGAGGGGAGGGCGCGGTTATGAGGGCGTCAGGGGTGTTCGGTCGGGGTTGTTTGTTCGGAAGCTGGATTTGTCCTGCATGGAGTCTGTGAGGGGCTGAAGTTAGCAGGGCTATGGGGGAATGGTGGGAGAGCTGACTGACCGTTGTTCGACTTGTACTCGATTACAGTTGTTGGCGGGAGGTTAAGCACCCTCCGCAGGTTGTCCCTGCAGACAAACGGAAGAGTGCGTAGCATGAGCGGTCGAGCCCCGTATCGATCTATGCCGAACCAAGTCAATTCACAACACGCACCTGATCCTCTCCTTCACCTTCGCATCTCCGTCATGCCTATTCCAGAGACTGACGATATCCTCATTCTGTCGCACGCTAATCGTGCACCCGCATATCTCCGGCCACTCATCGCTCTCCTTTGCGCTCCCGCACTCGTCAAACTGGTCACCAATGACGGCGAGGACAAGGTCCTCCCATAGGCGATCGGCGATACCCTTCTTCAGGCGGATGATCCACTTGCCACCGGTGATGTTGAGCGGGTCTTCCCAGACGGGCCGGCGGATACCCGAATGGAAGAGGAGGTAGTCGGTGGTGGGGAGGAGGGCGGAGGGCGGGTGGAGGTGTGTCCAGAGGGACCAGAAGGACTCGACGGAGCTGGACGCGGCGATCTTCTTGATGCCCTCCTCGTAGTTGGTGATCTTATTCCCCGGGGCGCGCTGCTGGCGGAACCAGAAGACCCAGCTGCGCGGGGAACGCGTCCGAGTCAGCGCGCGCACGGGCGGGGCACGGAGCGAGCGAAATCACGAACATACGTGTTTTTGAGTGGGTGCACGCCCACAGGCGCGGCGCCGTTCGAGAGGCGCTCGCGGCTGACGGACTTTTCGTCGCCCGAGGACGAGAGCGAGCTGGAGAATTTGGAGGACGGGAGGCGCGAGCGCGGCTGCGGGGACGGGTTTTTGGGCGGGGCGACGGGGGAGGCGGCGGCGGCGGTGGTCGTGGTCGTCGTTGTCTGCGACGAGGAGTGAGCGTTGGCGAGGAAGCGGGAGCCGGAGTGGTTGGAAAAGTAGCCGGCCATACGGGATAATACAAGTAGAGAGGGTCGGTGGCGTGCAAGCCCGCGACGCCGTGAAAGGATCGACACACCGGCCGGCGCCGGGATCGCCATCACCGTGGCCGGGGACTGCCGCCGGCCCGAGCACTCACCGCCCGACGCGCTCTTAGCAGACTTGCACGCTCTTGGATGAAACTGATGCTCCGGCCAGAATGGCGGCTGAGGCCCCTCTCCTCCTTCCTCGGCTTCCTCGACATTAAGACAGGCGTCGTCGTCGCCCTCCTCTTCGCTGTAAGTGTCGTTCGCGACGTCCTGCTCGTCATCGCTGACGTTCCACAGCTCTTCAACAAAGTCACCGGTGTCTATGGCCTGCTCGCCTTCCTGATGGGCGCCGGCGGGTCCCTCGCCCAGCTGAGCATGTACGTCTACTCCGTGCTGGGCCTCGTCGCCCTCACATGGGGGCTCAAGGCCGTCCAAGAGGTACGCTTGCGCATTCATGTTTCTTCCCTTCACCCTAACCTCGCCGCGCAGGAAGACCCCAAGCGCACGCTGTACTTTGCGCACCTCTTCTTCGCCGACCACATCCTCTCCACCGCCTGGACCGTCTTCTTCATCGTCGTCTGGTGGGTCTACACCCCGCATGACGGCGCGCGCCGCATCAGCTCGCCCGCGCAGGAGGACATCATCCACCGCTCCGGCATCAACGTCACCATGTCCCCCGAGGACCGCACCGCCGCCGCCCAGGCCATCTGGAACAAGGAGAAGGGCCCCGCGCTCGCCATCGTCATCCTCGGCTGGCTCGCAAAGGTGCGTACCCGTCCACCCGTATCGCACAATGACTGACCTGGAGCGCAGATCTACTTCGCGCTCCTCCTCTACTCCTACGCGTCTCACCTCCGCAAGGGCTCCTACCGCTCCCTCCCGCTCTCGCGGCCCAACCCCGCCGCGCCCACACCTGCGTACGCCGCTCTCCCCGACGAAGAAGAGGGCGACACGATCGACGAGTTCTACCGCCTCCCCCTGCGCGCCCGGCCCAGCAGCAAGGCCGACGCCAGCATGCCCGACGAGGTCCTCTTCGACGAGGACGAGGACCGCCATTCCAAGTTCGCGAGCACGAGCGCGAGCACGACGGAGGAGAGTACCACGGGCGGCTCGGATGGCGAGGACCACGTGCAGATGGGTGTCCGGCGGTGACGCGGGGAGGAGGGGCTTTTTCGTACATACTACATACGCACTCGTCTATCTACACACATTGGTGATCAATCCATCCGCTTTGTTTTGTCGTATCATCCATTCCTTGTATCGTAGTCGTAATCGTTCTTCTCTGCATTGGTCGGATCGGTTGCATGTTTCCGTCGCTCATACTTAATAATCATACCTGGAGGCTGTAGGTGGCTAGTCTCCCAACCCGGCGAGTCCACTCCATCAACAAACGTACTTAGATTACCGCTATGATACCTCTATTCTTGTGTATATATACATAATGCCTGGAGTAGCGATGCGTGTTCGTGAGTAGATCTAGCCTGTGCGTATCGATGATAATAAATATGGAAGATAACGTGCCCCACACATGCCCCTCTTAAATTCCCTCCCCTCCCCGCCTCCCCGCTCACGCCTTCCACGACCCGGTCTTGGCGACCTGCCGCTGCCTCGCCCAGACCAAGAACGCCGTGCCAATCAGACAAACGATGCCCGAGAACACCGCCGCGCCCCAGTACGTGCCCCCGCCCTGGCGCGCGATGATCGCGCCGATGACGGGCGAGCCGAAGAGCCCCCCGAAGCCCACGACGAAGAAGGACATGCCGATGCGGATGCCGATCGTCGCCATGTCCGCCGTGAGCGACGCCGTGCCCGCTGGTATAACTGCATCGCAAAGATATCATGTTAGCATCGACTACGGTAGGAGGGGGAGGGGGGAGGAAGGCGTACCGGAGACGTAGGTCCCGCTGAAGAACCCGAACACGAGCGCGTACACGACGACGCCCGCGGGCGTGTGCACCGCAAGGAAGATGAATATGAGGACGCTCGTCACGAAGCACGCGGGGATGAGCACGTTCAGCGGGCCGACGTAGTCCGCGACGAAGTTCGGGACCACGCGCCCAAAGAGTGATGCCGCGTTCAGGAACGCCAGCGAGTAAAACGCGATGTTCTCAGAGATGCCCTGCTGGATGGCATACTGCTGCAGGACTGGAACGGCGAGGCGTTAGCGGCTGCCGTGAAGGGGAACCGGTATATACGCACAGAAGAACGGGAGGTAGATCCCGAAGAGCACGAAGAAACACCCCACGACGTATATCGAGTACGTCACATCCTTGAACATCGAGAAATCCAGCACGGCGCCGTGCTCCCTCCGCGGCAGCCTCGTCTTCAGCAAAAAATTCCCGACGAGCAGGCACCCTAGGACGACGAATCCCGTCGCGCGCACCGCCCAGCCGTACCCGATGTTCGGGTTGTTCGCGAGCTTGTTGAGCATGATCGGGAAGACGATGCCGCCCGTGGACGAGCCCGACGCGAGCACGCCGTTTGCGAGCGCCCGCCGCCGGCGGAACCAGTGCGAGATGCACGAGATGGCAGGGACGTAAAGCAGCCCAAACCCAAGGCCTAAGCCAACGCCTTGGGCTAGGAGAATCTGGTAGTATGACTTTGCTAAGGATGTCATCATTAAGCTATGGATGGGATTAGTTTGGGGTGGAGAGGGAGAGTGTAAAGTACTCACCAGAATACGCTGAGGACGGAGCCTGCGAAGACTAGGTGGCGCATGTAGCCCTTGTCGAAAAGTCGACCGGTGAGCATGCCGCCCCAGAATATGAAGGCGAGCTGTAAGCTGCCTATCCATGTAATTGCGGAGGCAGAGTAATCAGCCAACTGGTGGGTCTGATAATAATCTTGATAGACTCCATAGGCGTTGATATACCTAGGCAAAACCCATATTAGTATTAGACTTGAGGACTATATTGAAATCAGACCGCCCACGAACGCAGTACGAATCCACCGGCACGATTGACTAGGAGGGGGACAGCCACTCACCCGAAAGTCGAAAACGAAACCAGCCAGGATCCAACTACCACGCTCCATGCTTGCCATCCGCCGTCTGGGAAGTCGTAGTCGTAAGTGGGGGGTGACGCCGCTTCCGCATCGATTTCCTTCGTCACCGTTTGCTCCTTCTCTTCGTCCTTCTGTTCGTCCACATCGCCCACAGATTGCCTTCGCTCGGTGTCATTCTTCTCGGTAGCAGTCTCCGTCGTTGAAGGTGCGTAAGAGGTCGTCCCGTTCATGGTCGTCCTGGGGCGTTGGAGGCAGGATAAGAGGGGGACACAAATACCGTCCACCTGGCCCTTTGAAGCCCAGGGCAAATCCCAAGAATTGGTAGCGATGTCAGAACTACTCGGTCCCCGGCATCGTTCTTACTAAGATCCCATCAATGATCAATGGCCGATGACGGCTTCTCCGAGATGCCAGTCACCGGCGCTCGTTTTCGTGCATCACCGCTCGCACTGTGTACGATAGAAAATACGAAACATACCATTTACATGCAGAGCAGGTAAGAAAGCTGAATTTACGGTTGTTTTACCGTCGTACACAACGTCCGCTGAGTCGATCAAAGCCAGATCTCGGGAAACGAGCGGTGTGAGATCGCGATGCCGCGGCATGTTTTCTTGCGATCTCGTCGGATGAACGCCGTCTCAACTTCGACAGTTCAAACGCGACGGCCACAAACTGTAACATGCTTGACTTCAATGGACCGCCTCTGTTGCGCATATGTGACATTTACATGGAACCACGTAAATTTGAAGCGCGCCTGTAATTCTTTTCCTTGCAAATATCTATATATTTTTGGAAGGGTTGTGACGACTATCTAAAGGTGCGTGCCGCACGCAATATTGGGCGTCGTATGACTGACTCCTGGCTAGGGACGGTAATGACGCCACATCGCAACTGAGTTCTCTTACTCAGAGAAAAGAACCCGTGGGAAGTGAGTACTCGGGGCGGACTGGCTGATATGGAGAAGGAATAGGACTCGGGTTGAACCAATAGAAATCCCTCAATGGATCGGTGACGTTTACCCAGTTCCTTCAACGCTTACCTGCTAATGTTAATCAGCAGATTGCAACAGTATCGACCAGGACCTGCTGCTTGATCTTTCCATTCGAGATATCTATTCATGACATGATACTGACGTCGTTTATAATAGTCGCCATACTCTGGCCGTTATTCGTTGGCGGATCGATAGACGAAGGTCATATGCAGTCGGAATATCTCGGAGGATCGCACGGTTATGAACTTAACGAGCTCCAACCACGCAATGGCGACCGACGAGTCGCCCCTCGCGGCTCTCCTCATTCGTCGCGTTCGCGGACGCGTTCTCCGGTGCTTCCTCGCATCCGAATCATGCTGATGTCCCCATACCTGTCCCCGCCTCGCAGATGAGGAAGGCGGCTACGTGCTCTCGAACAGACATTCGCGACTACGGCTTTGTATACAGGACCTCCTGAGTCGATTCCGGTTCGGTAACCCAATGTATCACCAATCAAGGTAAGCATACTCAGGATTGCTGCGGCCCTGCCAATCCGCGCGAAGACTGCGATCGGCTCGCACTCGCTCCTTCTCGCGAGCCTGACGCTGCAGAGAAATCTGGAATATCTTACGCCGCGTATTATCGATGGAGAAGGGCTATCGATTGCACACCGCACAAGATACTGCACTTACATTGCAATCTGCGTGGAATGCAACGGGGCATAAAAGGCAGTATGTGACACACCTTGCTAGATGACTAAATATAACTGGAATCTCACTGGTAAATCAGGGTGTGAGCACAATGCTCAAGGACAAAAAATGAAGGTCATGTTGGAACGGTAACAGTCAAACAATGCCAGTATTCAAACAACAGTTTTTCTGAGTGATGTTATATCCCCTTACGAGTACAAGTTGATACAAAACAAACAAGTCCAAGCAAAAACCATACAGACATTTGGTGACTACTCCACTCAGATTCTATTCGCCACAAGCTACGCATGATCAATTGATCGTGCAGAGTCGAGAGGCGAAAGGAATAGGAGGATCCCCCGACAACACAAGCCGCTAGTGCAGTAGCAAGGTCATCAAACCCCCGAGTTGCAAGCAGAGCTCGAGGAGCAAGGGCGGCAAAAATTAGATAACCAAAAATGAGGGCGGTGCCCTCATAATAGTGGTTAAACTATTAAGAACAGATACTACACTTGATCTAAGCCAAAAGGCCAGAGTGGTAAGGAATCAAGACTGCTGGAGGTGCACTTATATAACGGCGAACCTGCGCACGGACCCCTCTGCTTGGTTGAAGAGACTTCGACGAACGCGAAGTCAAATTAAAGGAGGCCTGAATCCGGCCAGATCCGAGTCAACCTGTGCGACCACGTGTGCAGTGATAGATGGGATGAATTTGATGTCGAATTTGAAGGGTCTCCATACAACGTGATGTATGTAACGACCATGAGATTCGGTGAATGCAGCAGTATCCTGAATCCAGAGTACGTATGCGTGCGGGAAGATTCATATCACAGCTCCAGAGAGTGCTTGTAGGCAATTGTCCCCTCTCCACAGACTTCCATTGACCTTTCACAAAAGCTCGAATAGTACGCACCGATCATGCTCAACCAAATCCTATGCTGACGATACCCTTGCTATACTCACCAGCTGAACGGTATGCAAGGCGGGGCAATATTACACAAGATGCCCGGCACGATGTTCATATTCTAAACTGGGGCAATAGGTGGGCATGTACCAGATGGGCGCAAGACATTCCGCCGGTTGCTTTTCATGCCCGAGGAGACTCAGCAAATATTAGCTCAAACGCGCAGGGTGCGATGATCTGACCCTTCATTGTCGTGTGGGCCAGGTAATGCAGGTCGTGCCTCCGTACGGCCAATGATCGAATCCTAGTTCGAATATTGTCAACACTTTATTGATCTAGGACATCCGTTAGTTCTCGACGTCGACCAGCACGCGATACTCAACGCTCACCACCGAGGAGCTCGACGGGTCCTTTACGTTCACGGGAGAAGCACAATCTCAACTTCAGCGTGGGGCACTAGTCGCGTAACTCGCTATAATACAAATTCTTATACTGCATCCGCTCCGGACTTCCTCTCCAAATCGTTTCATTAAACCTGCCTTTGGCAAGCCATCCAACCCGACGTGCAAGTAGGTGGACAGGATGTCCTCCGGCGGGGTCTTTCAGGTATTCCTATGGCTCGCTCACGACCTGTCGGACGTCGCCGCTGATTTATTACTGTTAGCAAGCATTAATGGATTCCTGCGCATACTCCCTTGCTCAATCATTCTATTGCTGGCAGCTTGCGTGTACTTGCCATATCCACATTCATACCTGCAGTCTGCCAGCAGGCGAGCGCACGGCGTGTGAGTTGATGTCATTACATGCATAAATGGAATGGTACCAATGATTCGCGGGCTATCTCTTCCCCATCAGAGGATCGTGCTCCAGCACATCGCTACTACTCTCGAACCCGTAATGCAGCAAGCCTTCTTGAGGATAATCACGGTCATCGTTACGATGAACTTCGTGTGGCTTTGTAGTTCCAACAGCATTGCATCGCGAGTGCCTGGCTGTTGTAGCAGGAGCAGTTCTACTGTGCCAGCCCTAATTTGGGATGCGAGGAGGAATCCAGGCTTCCCACCCGCTCGAACCGAGTTAATCTTATCGCCCCGCGTTGGACGACTACCCTTGGTAATCTGCTTCTCGCTCGGACCCTTTCCTTCCCCGGACCTGCGACCACGTTACACCCTTGATTTGTTCTCAAGGCGATCACCAGACTTTAATGCCTAAATCATAGGTGGCGGCATAGTCAGTCGTTCATCGTCCTAATTCTCTTCCGGAGCCTGGAGGTGTTCACAATCTTGTCAGCTTCGGGTCTGGGCCTGAATGCATAGCCGAGGATTTACGGCACCACTCTTCTGTACCACCGTGCTTTGCGCATTCGGAGGTCGTGCATACTTTTTCATGGCAGGACGCGCAATTTGACCAAAGATAGCCCAGCTTGTCCCTCGAACTTACTCGCGGCTGGAGCATGGTGGAGGGTAGAGCGGTTGACAGATGAAAAGGAATCGATAGCGGGCTCTGAAACCGGTAAGTCGTTCATGAGACGATCGAAAAGTACGAAGGCATACCTCTATGTTGTACGCGACACATGTAGGGCAGGAAAGGAACACATTCCATGTCGTTTCCGTCAGAAGCAGTACTTCGTCGATACTCACGAGAATCCTCCTGGAACCAAGCGGTGGGGTAGAGCGTTCTCTGCCACGACTGCAGATACACACGGCGGGTCGCCTGCAGTGTCTTGTGCATCATCACTTACGAAGCTGAGGAAAGGGAAGTAGAGGGCGAGGGCAGCCGACAGGATGTACGCATAGACAAGAACAGCCGAGCAGATAAAATTCTTGACCCATCTGGACGACATCGCGACGTTTGGGACGACCACTCGGTCGCCGGCGACCCACATGCAGACGAGAAATATGGGCCTTCTGTATTACAGCGTCCGAGACTAGGTGAGGATACCGGTAGCCACACCGTCGCCTACCTTCTGTATATTTACGGAGCCGCACCGAGGCTCAAGTATAAGAGTCTGATCACGAGCTAGCCGTTCGAAATCCCCCAGACGGCATCAAAGACCCACTCGAGGAAGAGCGCCTTTGCAATATTTATCGAGTCGCGTTTACGCTCCGTGCCATGCTCTTCGGCCCAACATGGCTACGGGGCTTGCACTAGGGCGGCCTTCAGTCTATCGAGCCCTGTGGTGGGCTGACGAATAAGTGTTCAATATTCAAATATTGGAATGCAAAATGAAGTTTATGATTCGCATCGCGATAGGTCAGATTTGAGAGATGACTTCGACTCCAAATGAAAACTTACACCACAGAGTCGGTCACCGCAATAGTATGTACACACGCCAGGCTAAAATAGCAGAGCTGGTACCGTCAACCCCTGGCCCGATATAGCGGTAGCAAACTCTTGCCAGTGTAGCCTCGTTGAACGTTCTTTCCGGTTATCGGGTGCTTAAACGCTATCACCTTTCCATCAAGGGACATCCTCCTCAATTAGATCCAGATTACGGATGCACCGCGGCTGTCAGGGTAAATGCCACTTGTTTCAAGTAGGCTGGGACCTCTGGAGGCTCAGCACGCACGAGCGCAGCCAGGACTCTACATGTGTGACTGGCAGCACGGCCCGTCTGTCGAGCCTTGCACACAAGAATTCCTAGATAAAGCCGGATTTGGGAACGACTGAGGGAACATATGACGTTACGTCGTGTGACCCTTGCTTTGCAATTCCCCCTGGATGGTGCCAATCCAAACCTTTCTGTCTTCTGGAAGTATCCAAATTTGAGCCGAATCCTTCCGAATCGACGTTGAAACGCCAGAGGATAGACGCCGTGAAAGAGCGTGACACCCAAGCCTCATAACAGTGCGAAGGCCAGCAAACGTGGACCTGGGTGAAATATAGATCACAACATACCCAGGATCGATTGAGCGGGATGACGGTGGTTCTGGTGCCTTCAAGGATCTCCGTGTGAGTCTAGATGAACAAAGTTGTCTGTTAGTATTAGGGCGTCTGACTCACGGGCACGTGCACCCAACTCTTCGCCGACGAACGACTATTCAACGGAAGTGTGTCAGTCGGTGTGCTTGAGGAGGAACCGTACCATGTGAAAATACTACAATCTCGGCCGCGGACTGTGACACAAGGTGACGGACTACAGGCAGATCGTGAGGATCCCTCTATATAGTACTCCAGTGCGGGCTGCGTCGCCATTGCATGCATCGCAGACAAAAATCAGCAAGGACTGGGTGATAGAGGCCCGCACACCCAGTCATCCTCCTCATTCAAGGCAGATGGTCGCGATCAAGTCAGAAGTCAACGGAATTCGCGAAGTGCGCTGCAAGTCAAGGTCAAACACACCGAGAGTCACTTGACACAGTATGCCTTGAGGTCGCTGTGGGTCCTTCACGAGGGCCAGCTATATGTTGCTGCGTCTCTTCATACTACGTTCATGCCAGACTAGGACTGCAAGCAAAGACTTGAACTTCATCCGGGTACAACTGACATGTTCAGCCAGAAAAGGAGTGCCATCCAAATAAATTTGGCTCGCTGATGCCATGTGCATATCCACGGCTTGGGAGATATGGAGTGGTGGGGAGACCGTCATCCGAGATATTAATAGCGTCCGACGGCATATGTACAAGGGCAGGCAGACAGCCAGGTAATCTGTCTTGGATAATAGGACTACGCCGTAAGAGGTGCAAACCAGACGGCGCAAGTGCAGATCCTCAGGATCGATATCAAGAAAGCCAAGAGAGAGTCGGGGCGTAGGAGATGCTGCGCGGCGGGGTGACGCATTTCTGTTCGGTTGCTTTAACGTATCTAGGGCGATATGGATGAAGAGTGTTCATCGATCGAACTAAATTGTTCAGCGAAGATATATGCGACGCAAACGGAGGTTAGTCTGGGTCAAACCAATCAAGAGGAATAGATGGACATCGGAAAGACAAGTCAGGGTGGCGAAGTCAGCTGACGCCAGCAGATGAGTGTGACTCTGAGCGGCCAACAAACGTTTCCTCGATCTTTGACAGGCCTCGGAACGAAGGGGCGTTGGGCGCCACGCAACTCGCGTGAAGTCATGTCAGTTATGCAGACATGATGCTCGGTCAGTACAGCTTAAGTCCGTAAGAAGGCGGCACACGACGATAAAGCGCCCGAGACTACTCACAGTACTGTCGCCGATATCGTGATCACCTAGAAAGAGTTGATCCCTCGTCAAATGGTAATCATTGCAATCGTCAATCAGGCGCCAGAATGACGGTGTCATGACCGGACCGACGTACCGGGAAGGCAGCCATTTGCATCTATCCTCTAGACATAGGTGCGATTTCACCCTTCTCGTATCTTTTGTGCCCGGCAGGGCCAAGATTGCCTTGCTGGGATTCGATGGAATGATTTGTGAAGGGTTGGACATCCCGATTATTTTTCCGGAGATTTGATAGACGAATGTGGCTTGCATTCCCAAAGGTCGGCGGCTCTACCGGACGAAATGGCCTTGCTACCAAGGCCATCCGCGCGGGATCGGGACGTATGGAGCCAGGTGCATTGCGGGACCACACCTTTCTCGATCACAGGGAAACCATGATGAATCAAACGCTGTTTTCACCACCGGCTGAACTGCCATTACAGCATCTAGATAGAAATTACCAGCACGATTCCATCGCTGCAGTCGTCCTGTTCATTAGAGCAGACATTAGCAAGGAAAGAAAATAGACCATCTTTCTCAAGGAACCAGCCACGTTACCTTCGGGAGTTACACTTGGTCTATCCATGATGCAGTCTGAAAGGCTATATAAGAGGTGCATGGACGGGAGCAGCCTCAGCAGTGGGACAAAAACCCTCTTCAGGGTCTGCCTCTTCTTCTATCGCCCTCGAGAATCCGTCGTAAGTCGGTCCTCTGCAGTCGATGTGCTCAAATGATCCAAGGCGGCCCCGCAGATGTGCTACAAGATCATTCAGTACGTTGAATACAGGTGTTCGCACCAATATCCAACCAGGGAGCAGATAGTATGTTTTCTGCCGACTGTTTTCATCAGGCGAGGGATCAACTCCAGGACAGGTCGACTGCAACAGTCGCAACTGTCGGCTGAGCAGTCTGCATAGGTCGGACGCACACGACTGCCCTTCAATTTGTCGACAGGAGTGAGTTTTGGGTGGCTGCGCCCTTCTGTATCTTGTTACTGATCACTCGCGTAGACTATTCGAAGATCAACATCTCGTCATGGACGAGGTACGCGGGCCATGCGATAGATGCAGAGGCAGGCCGAACGGGGCTTGAAGATATGATGAACCCGGAAACAGAGGATCTGTAGATAGCCCATGGTTCATATAATGCAGACTCATGCACACTGACTCCGATAAGGGCGAGCGGAACGTACCAAGTGCACAGGCTACAGTTCCCTCTATTGACAATTCAGACTGCGTCTGCGAGAGTGACATTCAGGCAGCAATGGGCACGCGTTTGTACGCATTCTTGTCACGTGGTGCCTACGTCTACGCTGGGGTTGTATCAGAATAGAACTGCTAATAACGAACGGACCATGAGCAAGGGATTCGGGAGGTAAGGTTTCATACACTTACGAGTACTAGGACGCGTCTGAAGCCCACGCTGCAGGGTGTGTCTGTAGCCTTCCCGATGCACAGTCCGTACCCGCACAGACGCCGAAATGAAAATCGCCCGCTACATTACACACCTTTCACTGCAAAGTTGTCAGAAGTCACAAGGGGGATTGGCTACACATGTGCCACTATGTACGTAGTCATGAGGAAATAAGAGCAGACGAGCTACGAGAGTGGGAGCGCTACGGAATGCCCGTGATATCTATCGACTCTCCTTCTGCATGCGACGAGGGAAGTCCTGCAGGATCTACCATGGTGTCGTCCACCTCACCTTCAGCGTCGGCGTCCCCTCTCGGCAGGAGATACATAGGGTCCATGACTTCTGCCATAGTCTCATCTCGCTCGTCTTCCTCCTCCTTACTCATGGGGACGTGAGACACCTTGACGACATGCCACTTGTCCAGGTACGCCTCGTGTATCTGTTCACATGCAGCCGTGAGTAGTGTACCCATGATAGAACTCTAGCGCATTACATTTTGTCTCTTCTTCTTCAGTATCATTTTCCGTTCGATATTTTTGTAGTATGCGCCCTTCGCTCTTCGCCCCAGTTTCGACTCGCCATCGTCATCAGGAGGTACTTGAGTGTCTCCCTCGTCGATGACAAGGAGAAATTCATTAGGCACTTCTTGCTCAACCTTGACTACCTCATAGTCGCGCACGAAGTGGAATGCAGTTGGCTAGCAGCACCACCATTAATCCTTGACTGTCGTGGGTCATCTGTTTAGTGCGCTTACCTCCTCTTCTTCAATCACAGTGCCATAGCGCTCGTTCCTGGCCCGAGTAAACTCGATCGCAGAGTCATCGTCTTTAGTAAGGTAATAAGCTAAAAAGTGGTCTCCATCGGACTCCATAGGTCTGAGGATAGCACAGTTTAGACGAGGGTCATCCACCTAAAGTGATAATCAGAACTAGCATATGTCCCACTGAAACGTTCTGTACTCACGTCTACAGGTCGCTCTCCAGGTCGCTCAGAGAAGCGGAACAAGTCATATGCATTAGCCCAAATATCCGCATCCGGGAGTATCTCATACGAATCGACAGCGGTCACGTTGGGCTTGTTCGGATGGCGAAGCTTAGTGAGGTCGAATGCCTCATTCGATGACATGAACGACGCTTCGATATCTCGTATTTGTGCCGCCCGAGAGATATCAATCGGGGCATCAGGGAGTTTCCTACAAAGAACGTCAACCGCAAGCACCTAGTGAAGATGACTGTTTCGTACGCTTCTTGAGACAAGGAAGCTTTGGAAACCCCTTCACGACTCAGATATTCAGTTTTCCGCAACCATGTTACATGCGCGGCGTGTGGTGTCGAAGGCATAGAAGAGCTGGTTGGCATTGATGTTGCATTGGGGTCACCCAGCAAGAATTGGTCTTCAGGGTCTAATTGAGGTCGATGCTTCGGATCGGGGTTTAACTCTGCATGTTAGGTATCGCTCATGTCTGTCGCATTTATTTAGAGCATTCAGTGGCTAGCTTACCTGAGTCATCGACTCCTTCTTCCCAAAGACAAGCAAACTTCGCGAGATCAAGCGGCATGCCGCACTCAGCGTCAACTATCATGGGCAGAGGGGTATAGTCGGCCACAGCATTAATAAACTCAGGTTTTGTATATCGCATTGGATTCGTTGATATCTGAAGCAATTTGGGCGGACATGGCGGAGCAGGGAGGGGGTTGGAATAGCGGACGCGGACCAAAAGATCAAGTTTACTGCCATGGCGGAGATTTGAGTCAACAAGTACAGTAATTCGGCAACTGACTTACCTTTTCTTAACGCTCATCGTTGTTACAGCTTACTCTGGTCGTGATAGATGGCGAGCAGTGTCGTGTCTTGGTCGTGTCCGACGCCCAAGACAGCAGGTGGCTGGAAGTTGGAACTGATCGTAAGCCATACACGATCGTGAGAATTAGAACAAACAATCACCCGATCCGGTAACTGTGGCGGGCGGGCAAGTCCAATAGTGGCATTCTCGAGATATCTCCATAGGCTTACAGCTGTTTTCCGAACCTAAGGCACAGCGTGACTTTTGCATGCCAGATGGGGTCCCAGCAAAGAAATCTGTAGCGCCTTGGGCTCTGCATCATCTGTCAGGCCCATATATGATTCTTACATTGCATGCAATATGCTAGCTATCTTATGCCCCCAGCATACATCCAGTGCAGTATATGACTCCAGAGTGCCTATGCAAGTCTAAGAGAATCACTTCTTGGGAGAGTAACCGGCTTCCCATTCCATTGCAGCTTGACGCACAGGTCCGGTGATTTTTGACATATTTTTGATATACTTTGGAACATTTGTGCTGTGTATGAGGGCCATACCATGTCTCTTCCTGTTTAATAGCCTGAATACTGACTTATTAGTGCATGCCCAGCACTCCTGCTGTAGGCAGTATTTCTGCATCAGATTTCACTGTTCTTTCAATGTCATACTTTTTCTCTGTGTTGGGAACCCATATATGCAAGTTTCTAGCACTCACTGGGTACAATACCCATATCGAGTCACTGAGAAAGTGTGAAAGGAACTGGACAAACGTCAAATTTTGTTCATAGTGTTGCCTTGCAAAACAAATCGAAATTCAATGAACAGTGCTGAACAAAGATCATATTCTGTGTCACAATCAGATTTTGCACACTCAAAAGTAGTATTATTCTACTTCGTTTCACTGACTGTGCAATGGACAATCATGAAAAAAGTTTGACCTTTGACCGGTTATTTTCAAAGTTTTGTGCATGCTCAATATGGGTGATGTACCCAGTGACTATCAGAGCCCGCGGGGGGTGCTACAGATTTATCTTTTATCTTGCTGGAACCACATTTGGCATGTGAAAACTCACACCGCGCCTTACGTTCGGAAAACAGCTGTAAAAGGTACTACAGTACTACTACTAGTACGCATATTAGGACACAAGTCAATTGTAGAGTACAGACATTGTGCATTCTATGTCCTATCACTATGCCGAAACTTCTGCGAGTTGGTTAGGGCTAGCGGCACCGACGGGCAAACCTCCATACACTCCATAGAGGACACAAGGTTTAATAAGCTCCGATTTCAAGACGCGACAGTGCACCACGTTCCCCGAAGTTTCTCAGTTGCGAGTACCAATGCGCGGGACTCTCATGACTTTCGTTTACTTGCGGTAAGCCCCTCGACCTAAATGCTATAGCTAGGGATGCGCGCTCGCGGCAAGTTGCTCGCGACGTGTAGGCGCCACACCAAGCCACGCTTCGGGACAACTTGTCGACAAGTTACAACCGCCCGAAGAGCTACATCTCTCCTTTCCGAGTTTTTTTTTGCAATAAAGAGACATACTCATACTATTACCTCTGTATCCTTTATGACCAATAGTGAGAAAGCCTTGCAGTCTCTGTGTGCCCCTCAGCCACAGTCAAGCCACATTGCGTAGAATTTGCTCTCATGTTTGTCCCGGACTTCAGCCCTACAAATTGAATGCTCGCTTCGCTCGCAATAATTGTTGGGTGTCAACAGGACAGCTATGCCCACCGGAATAGAGCCATTTTAGTACACAATAATTTGAATAAAGATAGAAAACATGTTGAGAAGGATGCCACCTCCAAGCATAGCATAGAGCAAGAGGTACGTCGCCGGAGAGCTTGACGTGCGAAGAATTCGCATAGCACGATTCAGAAGGTCAGGGTCGACCCTATTTTCAGGAGACGCAGCATGTAATCACTCGCGCTTCAGCCGCCGACATCGAACTTACCGTGTAGCTCCGAGGAGGCCCATAAATATGCAGTATGTTAAGATATAGAACGGTGAAATAGCGGGCCATGTCCGGGCCTTCAAGCTTTGACACTGCCGCGTGGATATCCAACAAAAGGGAACGCACCTCGCGACGACGGACTCTGACAACCATCAGGTTGGCGTATTGATCTTTATATAGCGTAAACAGCGCGAAGTCACCAAACCTTGTGCGCGTAAATCCCGTTTGACTTCTAACTTGACTTTGGGGTTCGAGCTAGAACTGCCCGCACGGGGTTGTAAATGAAGGGACGAACACCCGTGCCCACATGGTCTCATCACAGGACTGTCGACATTCAATCTACCCCTTCTCCCAGCTGGTGGCTGGATTGGCTAGTAGCCATCTAAGGGACCCCATATCAACTCAGTACGAAAGAAGATACGGGCCTGGGACCAAGCCCAGTCTTACAAGTACAAGCACGTCAGCTCTTCTTGAATGGGCCAATTATCTTACGAGAGAAGGCCCACCTTCGAATATATCTTCTCGATCCATTCCATATTAGCAATTGAGTCTTCCGCGCTAATCCAATGCTGCGGTGTCCGACCTTTGAGCTTGTCAATGAAAGCCTCGAGTTGATATCTATATCTGGATCACAAAAAGTTTGAGCAGGCGAACCGGTGCAACATCAATGCAGTCATAGCATACGTAGTCCACCAATCTTCTCCCTTCCCGTTCTTTGGTTTGTACGCCTTTTCCGTACGGGCGATCCTACCGCTGCCCTTCCTTTTGCTCACAGTGATGTAATGGTAAGCCCATGATCCGGGATAGTTGAACAGTTTGATTTCTCCTCCTTCGCACTGCACATGAGCTGCTACTTCCGGCCAGCGCGGAAGGATACTGAACGGGCCCCAGCCCGTGAGACCAAGGGAGCACATGATAGCGCCGGACATAGAGTTCGGGAAGGCGAGATGGGCCGTTGTAGTATCATCTACAAGAGAAGCCTCAGAGGATGAAGGCGGTGTTTTGAATACGTGAGCGAGTGCTGTCGCGTCTTGCACATCGGTCGGATCCACTCCTGAGAGGAACCGGATGCAGTTCAATGTATAACCTATATTTTCTGGATGAGTATGTCTTGAGTCGACTTAGACAACAATGGCAAATACACCCACAGCCCATGTCCATCAATGCTCCTCCGCCGAGGGAGTAATCGAACCTAATATCGCCCTCTTTCACGAAGCCCCTCGGGACGGCCAATGTGGCCGAAAGGCTCGTAACGCTGCCCAATTCGCCGCTGTCGATGATCTCCTTGACGCGCTGTGTGGCAGGGTGGAAGCTAAAGCAAGCGATAGTAAGGCCTGGACTGCAAACGACTGTACGAGTTATTCAGACCTACCGATAATGAAAAGCCTCCAGGAGGACAAGATTTTTCTTCTCCGCCAATTCAAACATCTTCCGCGTCTCCTCCGCCGTGTTCGCGCTGGGCTTCTCCAGCAAGACGTGCTTGCCAGCTGCCAGAGCCTTCATCGTCCATTCATAATGGAGTCCATTGGGAAGCTACGCCGCAGAGCTGTCAGATCGCGTACTGCGGCAGAGCAGGCTCGGAGGAGCATTACCGGGTTGTATATCGCATCGAGCTCGGGATCATCGATCAATTCTACGCACCCAAGTCACGACCCGGGCTCGTGCCGCACGGAAACTAGTGCTCACCTTGGTACCCATTGGACCCGCCATAGGCCTTCGGTATGCCGTGCTTCTTCGCGAACGCCTCAGCCCGCGTCTTGTCCCGCGCTGCCACTGCAAGCACGACAGCTTCGGGGTGGCATTTCGCTGGATCGACGAGCGCGATCGGGGCTATCTTCGCAGCACCCAGTATGCCGAATTTGATGGGAGGTGAGTCCGGCGAGGGATCGACGTTCGGAGGATTCAGTGCCTGGCCAGAGGTCCAGACAGACCGCGCTGAGCTCCATAGCTCATTCCAGTCAAATAGCTGTCCATTTACCTTGTATATACGAGCGACGGTGCTCACAACGGGAACCATCGTGGCTGCTCGGAAGAAGAGGGTGCGTTCTCGCGAATCCTTAGTCTCGTTCCCAGACATTATAGAGAGGATCGACTGGGGACGAGACTAGCGAATCCTGAGCTTATTTAGGTCTGGAACTGCGGCGACACTATCATCGCATTCCCATACCGCTCACTAACCTACCGTTACTTGTATCGAATAGAACAGGTTAGAGCGGGATGGAATCTCGACTGGTCTGTGACTCCGTGGCAACTTGCAAGGCAAGGTCGATCATGGACAAGCGCCCTTGCGAATTCTGTCGTACGAAGTTCGAATCCACATCCGGCAAGTCGATGCTCAAAACAGATGATAGGGGGTCGGAGGGGTCGTGTGCGTGTCCTGCGTCTGGAATCCTTTGCGGACTACACGATTATGATGAATGAGCGTGCCGTATGATTGAACAGAGTAGATCTTGGAATAGTACAATGTGCGGACTCAGGTTGGCAGAACATGATTAGAAACGAAAAAGCAAAGAAAAGGAAAGGGTATTACGAGCCACGTCAAGTCCCTCCGACCGACCTAAGGTATAGGAAACCGAAAGAAAACAAACGATCCTAGAATACAGTCCCCCTACCCTGCACCCACATACCACCTAGAAGTCGGGTGCCTCCCCCCCGTACTTCTTCGGCAGCTCCTTGGCGTCAATATGCGGGAGCAACGCCTTGCCGATAGCGTTTGGCCCGCTGCCGACGACGCTCATCTTCGCGAGCGTGTTCGCGCTCATGAGCGGCTTGAACAGCCAGAAGATCCACGTCATCAGGCTCGGCACGTTTACGAAGAACTTCTTGTACTATCCGAGGCGGCATTAGAGTGGCTGGCAGACGAACAAAGTGAAAACTTACCAGAAGCTCCGGGTAGTGGCTGCCAAAGATGTTCGTGGCCTCGGACGCAGCGTTCTTCGAGTTGGCGTCGCGGCTTCGCAGGCCCACGCCTTCGTAGTCTGAGATGCACTCAGTCAGAGAAGCTCAGTTCTATTCAATATGGGACGTAAACTGTACCGTGGATCTGGAGAGTCTGATCAATGTTCTCAAAGTCGAGCAGCATGACGGCCTTCTCCATGAACTGCACCCGCCACCTGCCGTCCCGTTATGAATACCTTTGGAGTAGAGACGGAAATAGAACATGATATACCGAATGAATCGCTGGACGTCTGAGAAGACCTCCTTCGTATTTCCACCGTAGACATTGTACCTAGATCATACGCGGTTGATGCTCGCGACTATTAGATGAAAAACGAGTAAGACTTACACCACCGGACGACCCTCCTTGTCTTTGCCGTAAATATGGCCGACTCTCCCGAATATCTTGTCGTCGAACTCTTCCTTCATGACGTCCTCAATCTTGAAGCTCTCGCGCCACCTCAGGGTGTTGACCAGCATCTCTCGTGCCTCCGAGACATTCAAGTTCCTGGGTCATGCATTTGGGTGAGTGCCTACTAGGGCGGGGTTTAACAGCACACTGCATACCGAGCTCTGAGGAACTTCATGAGTACGACGCTCTCCTTCGCGCTCTTGACGCCATTGGGATTCAACTCGACGCCCCACAAAGTTATCGGTGTCAACCTGACATCGTGTTTCTCCGGGTACGCGTCCGCCAGAATCTCCGGCAATTGTTTCTATCTCCACCATGAGCCCTCCCTGTCGCAGTTCCACGGCCAACCGAACGCGCTCACCCTGAACTCCTTCAAAGCCGCCCACTCTTGCTCCGTGAACTGCTTCGTCAACGCATTCTGCGGCTCGGGCTCCTCAGGCTCGGCGGGCTTCTCAGTCGGCTGGGGCGCAGGCGGCTCGGGCTGGGGGTCCTTCACGGCCACCGTGTGCAGCGCCGAATCCGTCGGCGCAGCTGCAGCACCCGGCTCTGGGTCGGCAGCCGTCTTCGTCGTCACCGGCTGGTCCGTCGTCGCAGGCGCCAACGGCGAGTCTGTCGTGGCGGGGACTAGTGATACCATTGAGGTTCGCTGGCTGTATGCGCGAGTCAGAGTGCACGTTGAAATAGGCTGGCGACGCGCAGCCCTGAGTTATGTTATGGATCCACGCAGAAGCATCACACCCGAGTCTGGCCGTTTACGTTATCTGATAAGATGCGGCCTTCCAATGTCCCTCATAACAACTTTAATATCGAGTATGCAACGAATATGTATAGGGTATGCTACGATCCGCAAACCAAGAAGTATGTACACTGCATCAGACGAAATACAAAATAATAATTTCAAGTAATAATCAATCGTGCAAGTCCCGGGTTCTAAGATAATGCACTCGCAAGGACGGATGTTCTGGTTTGTCGCCGATGTGCTTGCAGACGCTGTAGATATAGATACTCTATACTTCGTCCGAAAGAGGGACAGGGGAGGGGTCCAATATGTACAACAGGCCATAACTTACTGCACAGAGATCTGATGCTGGTGCGTGAACCCACCGCCGAGCGGTGGACTCCGCGGTGGCGAGTCGAGCGAGGGCGGTGGCGAGGGATACGAGTCGGTCGGCGACGGCAGGTTGAGCCCCGCGATGTACTTCGACGCCTGCGACTGCGTCATCCGGCTCGGGTCGATTTTGAGTGGCGGGCGGTGGGCGGGCGGGAGGTGCAGGTGCTCGTGATGCGACAGCTGGCCTGCTGAAGGCGCAAAGCCGGTTATCCTGGCGGACGCAGGTTCCTCCGCCTCTTGCTGGTGATGGGGCGGGGCCGCGGCCATCGTCCGGGCCCTGCTCCTGCCGTACGGCACAGGCGGAGCGGTCGTCAGCGCCTCGAGCTCGCTTCCCTTTTCTTCCTGTATGCTCGTCGGGAGCTGCAAGTCCCTCGCAGCTTCGACTCTCCGCATCTTATTCTCGCCCTTCTCGACAGAGCCCTTCGCATTGTTGTACATCCACAGCCCCAGGAACGTGAGGATGATACCCATTCCCTGGATGGGATGCACCGACTGGTTGAACCACACGATCGCGATGCAGATCACGACCACCCGCTTGATCAAGGACGCAATGGAGTACGTCACCGGCGACGTCGACGACAAAATAATGAACGCAATGATATTCTGCGCAAAGTGCACCGTGCCGTTCATGAAGAAGGAATACGTCACCGAGTGCGGCGCCGTGTGTCCTTTGCTCGGGTGGCCAGCATACACCTGGCCACCGTGCTCCTGGTCCAGCGCCATCAGCGCCGGCAGGTCCGTCCACAGCCATATCGGAATCATGAGGAGGAACGCCATCCCCGACGAGTACAGCAGCAGGTTCAGCTTATCCAGCTTATGCGATGTCTGGGACGACCCGGACGGCATGATTTTCTTGAAGAAGATATTCGACGAGACAAAGACCAGAGCGGACCCGAAAGCACAGAGGAGGCCGACCCAGTTCGACGCGGATACGTCGAAGGAGCAGGCGAGCATCACGCCTATCGTGAGCGGCACGAGAGAAATGTACGTCTGCGGCGAATAGCTCACTCCAAACAAGAGCGCATACGCAGCAACCGTGAAAAGAGGCGACAGCGCCTGCACCAGAAAACTCTCAGCAACCATTCCATACCAATGCACGGACGCGCTCGCACCTTTATCGTATGGGTCGTGCTAACCGGTATCCGCGAAATCGCCATACTCGAGAACATATGCCCGCCGACCTGGAACATCCCCATCGGCAGCGTATTCCGCAAAATCTCCCTGCTCGGCCGGCGCAGCCTCGTGAACCTCACCACGGGGCTCATAAACAGCAGACAATACCCCGCGACGAACCCGAACTGCACGAGCGTGAGCGTGACGGGGTAGCGGAACTGGTTCAGGATCGTCTTGCCCGTGTTCGACGACATCGCGGAGGACATGTACCACAGGCAGCAGAGCAGCACGAAGCGGATGGTGGTTGCGGACGGCAGAGCGAGCGGCACCCGCGCCGTCGGGCCCCCTGCCTGCGTGAGCGTCCCCCGCCGCCGCGCAGTCGAGAGCGGCAGCGGCAGGGTATCGCTCGAAGGCAGATACCGCTCGACCGACTCCTTCAAATCCGCTAGCACGCCCGAGTGCTTTTTGTCGTCCGACCACGACCGGGTGTGCATAGCGGGCGTCCACTGCTGATTAGGATTAGCGTGCGTTGTGTGGTGGAGGGGCTGCTGGGCCGGCCAGCTCCCCGCATTATATCGTTGCGTATCGTTATACAAGCCCTCTGCGCCCGATAGCTGTTGGGTCGCTGTGTATCCGTGGCCGTTCATCGCTGAAAAGATAAATGTATGTCGTTCTGCGGTTTGCTCAGCATACACCCCAACAACATAGAACACCTTCATACCGTTCTATCGCATGAAACAAGCCTAGCCAGCGCTGCTCGCAGTGCGGTGGGGAATCTTGAAAGGTCAGCTCGAGACTGGAGTCGAGGGGTACTGCCTCATTCGGCTACGATTGTGCCCTATTGTGCCTTGTCAATGATGGACACAGCGAATTCCCACGGACCACACCGGAACTGGACTGGAGCCTTGCCACATCATGATTCATGACGCTTCACGCTCAGCCTGAACGTCCCCCGGGGCCGGACCGTCGTATGATTCACTTGAACACAGGCTGTATGATTGTGATACAATAAATCATGCGTATGGTAACTTTGTGTACGAGCAATGCGGAAACCGAACATGGAATGGGGAGGGGTGATGCAACTTCGTGTATGCGATACAACAAACAACAGGTTGAACAGAGACTTGCTAGTTGATGAGACGATGCAGTGAGGAATCATGGTACGAGCGTTCAATCATCCACGCTACTTGCACTCCCAATCGTAATGGCATGCTCATGCTTCGCAGGGTCATAACCATCCGCCCAGCTGGGAATATTCCTCCGCCCCCTCACCCCGCTCCGTATTGCGTGCGGGTTCGAGTACGCAGGCGGCGGCGGCGCGCTCGGTCTCCTCAACGACGGGTTACTATTCAACGTAACACACCACAAGTCAGCATCACCCCGCACCTGATGACAGTACTCAAGAATCAACGCACTTGGCTGTCAACGTCGGCCCCAGCGCCAGATTCGCAAAGTTGCTCGGGAACAACGGGTGCCCAGGTCCTCTCTCCCTCAACACATCAAACGGCACGTCCGCGCTCCCAGTGCTATAATGGCTCCCCACACTCGCCCTCCGCCCAAACCGCGGACTACTAAACACGCTCCCGCCGTCGTTTAGTGGCGGCAAGTTCGGACTGGGCGACTGCACGGCGAACGAGAACGGGGAGCGCGAGACAGGGCCGATTGCGTTGGGCGACGAGGGCGAGGTGACGATCCGCAGGCCCTGGCAGATCTCTTTTGGCTTCGGAATCAGCTCCGCGGAGTCGTTCGTCTCTGATTCCTCTTCCTGGATTTCTTGCAAGCCGCCTGCGGGATCCTGTGAATTGAGGGGAGGGGTAGTTGGTACGACAATAGGCTCGATTGTGATCTCCGGGGACTCTTCAGGATCCATTCCTTCAATCTGTGCGACCTCGGCCGCTGCCCGATCCTCCGCAACACGGCTCTCGAATGGAGAAGGCAGGTTGGCCGGGGAAATGTCCGCATTGTGATCCGAAAAGGCGTCTTCCAAGGCTTTCGCCCCATCCTCTTCGTCGCCGTCCGCGTCCAAGTCCGCAGGGACGCCTAGCGCACCCTTCAGCCTCTCCCAAATCAGCTCCGAATGCGACGCCACGCAACGGCGTGCCTTCTTCACCCAGACCTCATCCGGGGCAACATCTCTATCCACATGCTTCAGCCAGTACGCCAGCTGTGTGAAATCCCAGTTCGCCGGGTCCCCAGAAACGTCGACGGGCCCCGCCGGCCCCGACTCCTCAGAAACCGACTTGTCCGACCCCCGAGGCTGCAGGAGGGGCGAGTCCGGGGGCCCGCGCTTGTCCCCGGGGAACATCTGCTGGAGGAGGGCCCATAGCTTGGCGGTGGGGTAGGTGGACAGGAGCGCGGAGACTTCCGAGGGGCGCTCGAGGAAGGGCAGGTAGACGTCATCGGGGAGGGGCGTAAACTGGGCCGGCTGGACGAGCTTCTCGGGGCTGTGGGACGCGTAGGGCGAGCCGGGGGACGGGCGCGGGGACGGCATGTACGACGGGCTTGAGCTGGCGCGCGCCATGTCGACGAGCTCCTCCGGCGAGAGCCTGTGGTGCGAGAGGGACCCGCTGCGCGAGTGGCTGCGCACGGGCGAGTGCGGGCGGGAGGTCGTCGGGCTGCCCGGTCTGGGGGTGGGCCCGCCAAAGCTCGCGGACGCGAAGCTGAGCCGCCCCCCGCCCCTGCCGTCCGCGGACCCGATGGAGCCCGCGCTCCCCTGGCGGCGGTGGAGTCTGCGGTGATGGTGCGGCGAGCCTGGGCGCGGCGGCTCTTCGAGGTTGACGGTCGGGTTCGTGACGCGTACGATGGTGAGTCTGCTGGAGGAATTGCGCTCGGGGTTGTAGTTGGCCTCGGAGTGCTGCCCCCAGGGATCGGCGGCGGCGACGGAGCCTCGGCGGGCGGAGAGACGGCGGTTGAGCGTGTTTGGGCTGAGGAGGGGGCTGCGGGACGGGGAGAATGACGGCGCGGACGCTGAGGCGGACAGCAGCGGCGAGGCCATCGTCGTGGAGAACAGCGGAGGCGAGGCGAGGGGCAGCGGTCAAGGCTTTAGGTGTTTCCGGAATCAGCGATAAGTGCTTTAAAGGCTTGATCGAAATGTAGCCATGTAAACGATGACATAATTAGGGCCCCCACGGGACGCCCCTTCCGTCACGTCACAGGTCTAGAATCTGGAACTTTCCGGCCGTCACGCCTGCGCCCATTCATTCGTTGTCCGTCTCGAATCGACCGTGCCTTGCCCTGGACTTTCTCTCTCTCAAAGTGGGCTCCTGATTTTTCATAAATATCCTCTCAGAAACAGAGAGAAGGCATGGAGGCGATCGCACGTTCCACTGATGATTGGAACATCACTGCGTCGCCGTCTGCGGTGGTAGAGTTTACGTCCCGGCGACACATCGATGACAGTCCGGAAAATATCGAGGCCTGATCCGACTCTGTCTCGACGCAGCTGATCCAAATAAAATATTCACTGATCCCTACAGAAAGAGCAGTCGGAATCCTCCGCCAACTCTCCCCGTCTAAAAATTTGCTTGCACCATCTGAGCGCATCTGGTGTCGCTGATCGTCGTGCCTTCCACGGATGCGGAGGCATTCCTGCACAGGTTGGGGCGCGAAGAATTCGAAGCAGCAGAGAACCCGGCGGCCCGTGGGGCTCCGCAGCGCCAGGCCGGCTCAGAGTCCTACAGTCGACTCTGTCTTAACCCATACCTGTCATAACCCATAACCTGTAATAACCCATAGGTTTTTGGCTTCCACCAACATGGTAGATAGTAAAAACCCATAAGTCTGCTGTATCCCATAACCCATAGCTTTTTGGAGGGTCATAACCCATAAAACAACCTATATTGGGAAGGTACAGGTCTCCTTCCCACGAGAATCTGGACCATCTGGACCCTTATTTTTTGGTTCTCGTGGTATTTCAGAAGATAACCCATACCAGACTCAAGATTCCGTATCTAAACGTTGTCATAAACGACGTCCGGCCTATACCGGATAGGCTGTCTGTCACGCTTACTAGGTAGTCACACAATGTCACACGTTCTGGTAACCCATAGTCTGCAGAAACCCATAACTTTTGGGTTCCACGACCCGTTATGGGTTAAGACAGAGTCGACTGTACACAGACAGCTCAGTGGCGCCGGAGAAGCACTTGTGTGCCGGAAAAGCCATTGGAATAGGATCTGAGGGGGGTGGCCTCAACTCGCTGCGTCCCCTCGAAGAAGTCCGTAGTTTGCAGAACTTATGGATCCACGATGATATAAGTAATCAGTCACCCTCCGCACACTCGAGTCCCTCAGGTGAGACCAGGCGTGCCTCTAATAATCTGCCATCAGTCTCACCTCTGTCCTCCAAAAATGTTTATAACCGAACAGTTCCATACCGCCGGAGATGGCATGTAGGCGCTGAGAAGACAAGTACTGTACATAGCGAACTCGCGATAATTTTGGTTAGAAGGCGCGGGGTTTAACCTTCGAGTTGCACACACACAATCAACCATGTGCCCTTCCCACTCCAGATGGATGTAGTCCAGAACCATCACGTCCCTCAAGTATGTTTGTTCCAAGTCTCCTTCCCCTTGGAGCCCCATCTTCGGTACCCACCCCGAATCTTATCATAGGCACGTCCGAGTCCAAACCCGTTTATGCTTAGTCTGAGCATCAATATTGACACGATCGTGCTGCCGCGAACGACGTAGTACTGTATTGGTCTCCTGGGGTGCGGCTCCGCGGTGTATTCTTTGCCCATCCCCGACATCTGCCAACTGGCCTTGGACCGCGCTATGCCTTTCCTAGCCATCGTACCGTGGGTCCACGGCTACGCTCAAAGGATCACGAACCACCGGCTCACTGAAGCGGCGAGGCGCA